ATGGTTGGGACTGGCCAAACTGATTGGAAGATTTTTTTCCACTGGTATCTGTTAAATTTTGGCGGGGACTGAATAAAATATGATTTAGCAGTCTTTTTAGCTTTGTGCAACACTTCAAGGTGACTATCTGTCTTCTCACTAAATAGGCCCGAGGCATCGAATGGCAAGTCCTCAATTTTAGTCTTCACGTCGTCAAGGATGCTGGCCGACCGAAGCCACGCATGTCTGCGCAAGGTAACAGACGAGACGAGGATACGAGCTGCAGCCTTGACGGAGTGGCGGGTAGCGATCCTCTGATGCTTTGAAACCGTTTGGGCCTCCTCAAAGGTGTTAAGATAGCCCTGTCTAACATCATCAGGCAACAGATGTAAACCTGGAAGGAGCTTAAGCCACAGCTGCTTTTGGTAAGCACCTAGAGCCATCTGATAGTTAGCGACTCGCAACAGGAAAGAAACGAGAGAGTAGATTCTTCTTCCAATCATCTCTAACTTCTTGCCTTCCTTATTAGTAGGGATGACATGAGACCGTCCCGTAGGTTTTGTGCAGCTGGTCTCAACAATTAGAGAATTAGGAATAGGATGTTTCAAAAGAAATTTATTATCATCTCCAATTATTTTATACATATTCTCTGTACGCCTCGGTAAAGGAACCAAGGATGACGGATGGTCCCATAGCTCTTTGATAATTTTGAGCAAAGCAGGTAAGTAAGAGAGACTAGGTGGTGGAGTGCGCTCCTTGGTAATATCGCCAAAAATAAGATCCTCCTCTGGAGGTGCAGGTTCATCCACTCGCAGTTTAAGGGTCTTTGCCAGTCGGGATAACATTTGAGAGTAAGAAGAAAAGTCCTCAGAAGGGGAAGAATCATGAGGGTCACCAGTATCAGATTCCACAGTCTCCCCAACTGGCAACGGAACAGGTTGAGGCTGCTTAGGAAGCTTGTCGTCTGAATCTGACTGTTGAGACGAAAAGGGCTGGTCATCGTCAGAGGATGGCTCATGGATCCTTTTATGATGTCGGGGTTCGACCTCGAGCGCAGGAACAGGAACAGCGGGTGCAGGTGGAGGCGCTGGAGTAAGAGGTGCAGGCAGGACTGGCGGATCAGCCGGTCTGGGCGGGAGGGGAGCCGGTTGAGGAATTTTGTCGACATCGTGCTTGTAACGGTGTCGACAACGGTGAGGGGGAGTAGATTCTGAAGAAGACAGGTAAACATATTTGACTCGGCGTCATCGATGACGTCAATCAGAAGACGTGGAATACGAGGAGGAGGAGTCGCGTCTCCGACGTCGTCTATGCCTCCTGCTCTGGGAGCTCGAGGATGTGGATTCATCCGAGGGGCCCGGTGTCTGCGGTGCGATCTCCGATGGCGATCCCTCTGCTCCGTATGAGCAGCTCGACGTCGGTCCTTGGAAACGTGTTTTCTCTTCTCCGTCTTTTTCGCCGGAGGCGAACTTGCTCTCGACGGCAGTGGGGAAACAGAATGAGCCAAAGACGCCCGCTTGGTCGAAACAGGGCTGAAAGGGGCTAAACCCAAGCTTGGAGTTGCAAGGACAAGCTGACTTGGCGTCGGAGACTGCACGCCAAGGGGTAACACAGGCTCAGGCTGTTGCGGAGGGAGCGAGGTAGCTGCCTCCGACACAGAATCTTTATCCCGGGACGTATCCTCTAAAACTGGCGAAAGGGAGGGAAGTCCCGACAGCTGCAAGGTAGTCAGTGGAGAACTTGTTTTTTACTGGCGATTTTGCCTTTTTCACAGGCTTGGAAGAAACAGCCTTGGCGGAAGAAGGTTTCTTCGCTGCTTTCTTAGGTGGTTTAGCAGCGGGCGCCTCTGAAACTTCGACCTCAGAATGGTGAGAAGTACTCTGAAGCTCAGGAGCGGGAGTGGGAGATGGGAGCTCCATTGCCGATGGCTTAGAGGCTGATAAAGTGGAGTCCCACAAGTGAAGCTTAAGCCGCTGTTGTCTCGCTTTTAAAGCGGCTTTAGTAAAAGCTCTGCAATGTTTGCAAGTCTGGGGAGAATGCGATTCACCCAGACAAAAAAGACACGTGTCGTGCCCATCGTGATAAGGGATCTTGCCTGAGCAAATGACACACCGGCTAAAAGGTCCGGAAGGTGGGGACCGCAGGGACCGGGAGAAAGCCGGTAAAAAGGGCGGGAAAAAACGGGGCGCTCACCAAGGGTGAACAGGGAGGGAAAAAAATACCCAATCAAGTCCGCAAGGAAAAATCAGTGTCCATAGACGCGCCAAGATCAAAAAGCCAGAAGAAATACGATAAAGGACGATCAGAAAAGCGAAAATAGCAGAGCTAAGTAACAGAGAAACCACTTCGCACGGCGGAGAAATGGAACTGGGGCTTGGGCGGGCGGAGCATGCGCAGTGTAGGTAATGTTAAACTATGTTTCCTTTGCAGAGCTCTAGAAAGTTCCGAAAGGGACCGACCCTGGCGCTGACTTAACCCTTTATGTGTGTATTCACAGAAGACCACAATGAAGAAGCCTCTTCTAAAGATGATGCACATGAAAGCCCACATACGGTTTGCTGCAGACAAGCAGACTAAGGACCTGGATTTCTGGATCCATGTCCTGTGGTCCAATAAGACCAAGATAAACTTATTTAGTTCAGATAGTGTCAAGCGTGTGTGGCGGCAACCAGGTGAGGAGTACAAAGACAAGTGTGTCGTGCCTACAGTCAAGCATGGTGGTGGGAGTGCCATGGTCTGGGGCTGCATGAGTGCTGCCGGCACTGGGGGGGCTACGGTTCATTGAGGGAACCATGAATGCCAACATGTACTGTGGCATACTGAAGCAGACCATGATCCCCTGCCTTCAGAGACTGGGCTGCAGGGCAGTATTCCAACATGATAACGACCCAAACACACCTCCAAAATGACCACTGCCTTGCTAAAGAAGCTGAGGTTAAAGGTGATAGACAGGCCCAGCATGACTCCAGACCAAAACCCTATTGAGCATCTGTGGGGAATCCTGAAACGGAAGGTGGAGGTGCGCAAGGTCTCTAACATCCACCAGCTCTGTGATGTCATTATGGAGGAGTGGAAGAGGACTCCAGTGGCAACCTAGGAAGCTCTGGTGAACTCTATGCCCAAGAGGGTTAAGGCAGTGCTGGAAAATAATGGTGGCCACACAAAATATTGACACTTTGTGCTCAATTTGGACATTGTCATTTAGGGGTGTACTCACTTTTGTTGCCAGCGGTTTAGACATTAATGGTTGTTATTTTGAGGGGACCGCACATTTACACTGTTATACAAGCTGTATACTCACTTGCTTTACATTGTAGCCAAGTGTCATTTCTTCAGTGTTGTCACATGAAAAGATACACTAAAATATTTATGAAATTTGAGGGGTGTACTCACTTCTGTGATATACTGTATATATTATAAACAGTCCTCAGTGCCTATGGAAACAGGAAAAGACAGTGATTAGAGATGGCCACAAACTGAACCATGAACCAGAAAAACCCATGAACTGGGCTGGTTTGTGGTTCGATTTGTGTATCCCATTTTGCTGAAACAAAGCACTGAACCTTTTTCCCCTCAGTGCTTTGTTTTGGTTGGCAAAAGGGGATGTTTGCCCCCAAAACCCTCCCAGCACCCGTCGGCTCCCTACTTCATCTTAAAGCCTCCTCCTCCTCTCCTTACACAGCTGCCACAATCCTCACAGGCTGGAGGCCTGGGCCTGCTTTGTGTGCTCATGAACCTGCCATTCAGCCGAGCAGCTGGTGCTTGTGCACACACAACAGGCCTGGCCCTGCTGCCTGTGAGGATTGCAGCAGCTGTGGAGGAGGAGGAGGAGGTCTCAGCAGAGGCTTCAAGTTAAGGCAGGGAGCCAACTGGGCCAGGGTGAGGCGTTTCCCTTCCCAGCACAAACCCAAAAAACAAAGTGTGAACCAGTTTGTTTTTTGGCAGAGGGGGAAGATAGTTGGTGCCCATCTCTAAAAATGATATCTTAATACTGAGTTAAAGCTGCAAAATGCTGTATGTTGATTGTAGCAGGTGTTCTAAAATAAGTAAATTGAAATACAAATGACCTGGGACTGCTGAGCAAACATCTGTTACACCGTGTAGGGAATTTTTAAATGATTATCAAAGACGTTCATAAAAAACAACTGTCTGGCACATGTAATTTCTAATGTAATGCATTGTCACTCAACAGTACTGTTCTTCTCCAAACTAATGTAAATTTATTTTTCCCTGTTTTTTCTATGGTGTTCTATGAATACAGTGGTGCCTCGCTTAACGATGTTAATTGGTTAAAAAAAACCCATCGCTATAGGAAAACATCATTAAGCGAAACACCATTTCCAATAGGAATGCATTGAAATCGGTTAATCCGTTCCAATGGGAACGGATTACCGTCCTTAAGCGAAAATCCCCATAGGAAACATCGCTAAGCAATACAACTGTCCGTTCAATGCTTTTCAATGAGGGAAAAAAATTCACCAAAAATTAACGAAGACTCAGAACAAAGCCAAATTAAGTTTGCATAGGTTTCACAAGGTGGACTATCGATTCCAAGCAATTAAAACAGGTCTCAAACATTTTAAAACACTTTTAAATGACCAAAAACGGACATCGTTAAGTGAAAATCCCCCATAGAGAACATCGTTAAACGATGCGGAAAATTCCTCAAAGAAACCCATCTCAAAGCGAATACATCGTTAAACGAAGCAATCGCTAAGCGAGGCACCACTGTATATGACTAGGAATTCAAATGAAACTCACTGAATTATTTGAACATTCTGCTGAAATACGTTAGAAACTCTGCATACTTTTGCTCCAAGAGTTGCTTGCTCAGAAAAATAAAAACAAACAAAACAAAAATCTGCCTTATTCTCAGAAGAGTTCAAACAAACAACGTGGGTAGCTATCTCTAAAGTAAAATGAGTATGTGTTACAGAGATTTCCTGCTTCCTGTTGATGGAGAAGGGACCACAGAGAGTCACTAAGAAGAACAAATAAAGGCCGAGGTGCTTTATTATCACCTTCTAAGGGCTTCACAATCTGAAGCTTCTCTGGGAGGTATGAGCGACTGCAGATGGACATTCCTGAATAGCCAGTAAATTCAGAAAACCTGGAGTGAGTTCCCAATGACATGATACTTTCTGTCGGAGTAATGGAGCCACTATGGAGTTCACCCTTCTCAGCCAGTTCCCTCAGCTTTCTTTCCTGCTCTTCTTCAAAGAATCTCCGCTCTGACAGGTAGTTTTCCCTCCGAAGGGATAGCCTTCGAAGAGCTGTTTCCAGGTCACTGGAGCCCGGTGTTCCTGGGGTTCCAGGTTTTTTATTCTTTTCATCGTTTCTAAAACAAATAGCAAACATATTTTGACCAACTTTTAAATGTGTAAGCAAAAAGAGAAAAGAAAGCAAAATTCTGGTATCTGAAGTGCCAGGAAAAGTAGAATCCTAGCTTTCTATAGCAGAAACATTGCTTTAACAGCATAACATTCTCAGTGACTTAAAAAATATGTAAACTTCATGCTGGGGCTAGAAAGATGTGATAGTTCCTTCACAGCATTGCAACTGAGTAAAATTAGTCCACATTATTGAGATTTCATATGCTGCTCATTCAAATTAAGAGAAATCAATAGCTGAAATCCTCTTGCATAGTTAATACAAACAGCATAACTTTTAGAGGCCAATTATCATAGGTCAAGAAATTTCAGTAAGCAACAAGTAAGATGTAGTTTTCTTAATTAATGCCAATTTACTCCCAAAAGTTATATTATTTGTATAATTGTACAAAAGGATTTCAGCAATGTATATCACAACAGAGATTTCTGGAGAGTGTAGAATCTGTTCATCAAATATAGACAGCTTCTACAAGGTGATGTGTTACATACAGTGAGAAAGGACAGAGTGCTTACTGTCTTTTACTCTTAACTTGAGTCACCTGTCATATCTTTTCTCTAAACCACATAATGATACCTAGTTAAAGCATGGGCAGTGCATGTACTACTGACAATGAGAAACAAGATTGGCAACATAAATTTATTTATTTATTTATTTATTTAATTTATATCCCGCCTATCTGAATCACATAGGACCACTCTAGGCGGCTAAATAAATATATTGCCGCAACTATATGAGCTAGAAAGAAGAATTTATTTTATTTGGTTTTGTTTTAGAAAGGGAGGCAAGATTTTCTGCAGCCCAGAATATCAGTTTTAGGACTGCACACATCTTAATAATTACCCACCCAGGATACGCCCCCTGCAATAATGCTTTTTAACAGTTAAAGGCATCAGTATGTGAATTAAAGCCAAATAAGCCAGGAAGGGAAAAAAATAGAATTTCAAGCCTAGAATCTGATTCAGTCAATTCTGTTTATTCATGTTATTAGGAGGATACTCTGTTATTAATAATTACCATTCAATTACTATGGCAGAAACCAACTTTTAATTTAAAGGGAATTCACTTAGCACCAGTACAAAAATAATTGGCCTGAACTATGTTATTCTGCTGTTAAATCAGTAAAATGCAATTATCCAATAATACTGGATTACATTTTTAAGGTGCTTAGTAACTTGAGAAAGGCCAAAGCAGCTCACTTATAAACAAAACCAGGGATAGAGAAGGCTGTAGACCAGAATTATGCTGACATCACAGCATATGCTATTCTTCTTATGAGATCAGGATAGGGAGTTAACCTAACTAATGCAACATTGAAGATGCAAGTGGCTAAATGGAACAAAAGGGTTTGGACAGTACTCTGTTTCAGAGATACTTTTAAGCACTAGCTATACATTACTGACCCAGAGTCAGTTGATTCAGTTTCTAGGATGATGCTATTCGTCTTGTTGTCTATCACTATGTTGGAGACATCTCCTCCATAGAAGCTCGACCGTGGTGTACTGATGCAGCTAGAAATGACTGAATTCATTGCGGAAGACTGGTTAGAGCCAGGGATGTTCATTGGAGATGGAGTTAGGGATCTCTGCTTTACCACCTGGTTGATGTTTCGTACTGTATCAAAAACTCTCTTGTGATGGCTAACAAAGACACAGATAGTTAGTAAACATCAAAATAACACCCTTAACATATACATACATAAATTTCGTACAGTAAGAACTTGTTACAACTAACATGGATTTTGCAAAAGGAAGTATGGTTTTGGAGGTGAACTGAACGTTGCTGTTGTTATGTGTCATCAAGTCGCTTCCAACTTGTAATAACTCTATGCATTAGTGACCTCCCAAAAATTCAGTCATCAACAGCCTTGCTCAGCTCTTATGAAGTCAAGGCCATGGCTTCCTTTATTGAGTTAGCCTATCTCTTGTTTAGTCTTCTTCTGTTGCTTTCAATGTTTTTGGCATTACTGTCTTTTCCAGCATGTTTGTTTTCTCATGACATTCTCAAGCTATATTATCACCCATCAACTCTATTTTTACATCACTGCTTAATCCACTGAGATATAGTATGCAAAACAACACACCAAACCTTAAAGAAGTAATGGCAATTTACTATATGCAATTTACTATATTCTCCACAATAATTTACATCCTCAATTTGTCATTCATATTTCAAAATACTTTAATTAAAATTAAATTGCAATGTTATTAAGAATTAGTGTTTATTTTGAAAAAACTGAAGTAATTTAAATAAGTATTCGCGAAGGCTGGGATCTAATGGTTGTTGTGGGTTTTTCGGGCTTCTTGGCCGTGTTCTGAAGGTGGTTTTTCCTAACGTTTGCTGTCCTCTGAAGATGCCGGCCACAGAGACTGGCGAAACATTAGGAAAAACCACCTTCAGAACACGGCCAAGAAGCCCGAAAAACCCACAACAACCAATTTAAATAAGAGTTGAAAAAACATCAAATCTTCTCAATGCCTTTCCTTCCTATTATAAGCAGTTCAGGTCTATTTCTTTTGCATAGAAAAGGTAGAGTGCTGCTTCTTATTAAATGGATCACATTAATGGTTTTATTTCTATCACATGAATTTGTTTTTTCCTATCACTTGATAAATGGCACTTTAAAATTAAAATATCAGTATAGCATAATGTATTTGCCATACGTTAGATCGGAGTAGTCGGGATCATCTAGATGGAGTTCTTTTCGCATTGACCCTTCAATTTCTGCTGCCAAGGAATCCTGTAAAGATAAATTTAAAAGATGGCACATCATTTCACCAACATGTATCTCTTTTTGTAATAGGGACTGAGAGGTTCATTATGGCAAACAAAACCTGTATTACGTTAAAATGTCTGATAATACTGTATGCAGCAGGACTGTGGCTTGTGGGTTACAAGCACTCTCCTCAAGCCCTTTTCTTCCTTCCCCTACATCTATAAGAATTGTTTTTTTAATTTTTTACGTAGCAAAATGCCAAATGTACTCCTGCATTTCCCTAGCACAACTCTTCCTTAAGACACAGATGTTTCTTCTGTTATTTAAGACAATTAAGTCTTAAGTGTTATTTACAGAGCCTTAATTATTTTTAAGATGGAAATATTTTAGCTTCTTTCTCATATACTCCCAGTCAGTTCCTGCTATTAATTTTAAGACAGAAAGGAATTTGAAGTGTTTGATTCCCAATACTGAATTAAAATTATTCTACAATTATTCTATAATTTTAAATGTAATTAAATTATTCTATAATGAATAAAATATAATCTTTAATGAAATTTAAATTATCTGAGTTAAGTTATCTGTCTGAGGGGATGACAAAACAATGAAATTAAAGTTTGTTTGTTGTAGGGCATACTACAAAGGGTGTCCTTTGTTGAGAGAGGAAATGATGAATAAGGGAATGAGAGGATGGTGGATGGTGTATGATAACCTAAAGATGGGCTTGAGGTAATTAATGCGGAAAACCTAGTGGAGTTGAGGAGAGTCTTAAGGGAAGATAAGAGGAGAAAATCGGCAGAATCAATTAAAAATAGCCTGGAAGATCTATTGGAGATAGACCAAGTGTATAAAGATCAATTGGAAGTAAATCAAATGCATAAAATTGCATTAAAGGACACAAAAAGATGGCAGAATGTTTAGAAAGACAGAAACAAAAATTGAAAAAAGATTAAGAGAAGGAATTACATAGAAAGATGAAAAGGGGGAAAACAGGAAGGTGGCTCTCAATGTTGGAAAGCATGTATATACCGTATTTTTCACTCCAAAAGACGCACCTCTCCATAAGATGCACAAAATTTTTAGAAGAAAACAGGGAAAAATTAATCTGTTTTCTTCTCCTAAAAATTTGGTGAGCCTTATGGAGAGGTCCGTCTTATGGAATACACCTTAGCCCCCTCTGGCCCCTTGGGGGCTGGGGGGATCCTCCAAAGGGTCCTAGGGTGTGTTCCAGGACCCTTTGGAGGCTCACCCTACCCCCCATGGGGGCCAGAGGGGGTGAAATCGCCACCTTCAGGGACTCTTCTGAAGCTTCCCAAGCC